CGGAAGGCTGTACGCCTCGTGGGCCAACCATGATAGATATCGAGCGTTCATTCCTTTCCCTACCTCGCCCAATTGGCTAGACACTGTCACAGTCCGATGTGGTTAGCGCGAGAGGGCGCGCAACAGGTCCCTCTTATTGGGTGTAAGGGCATCTCCAGCGCTGACTCCCAAATTGGACACTGTATCCGTCCATGGACAAGTGAGGACCAGCTCGCAGACACTGATATAGGAGACAACCATCCAAATCTATCAACAAATGACCAAAGACATTTGGAACAAAATTAATGGAAATAAGAAATGATGCAAATTTAAACAAACCAGACAAATTTCATTCAAACTGGTAAATTTTACATAAAAGCAAACGGTATTTTGTTCAGTGAACTAAAACCTAAAAAACAACTAAACTACCGAATACTCGTACGCCGTGCCGGACTGGCCGGTGGCACCTCTATCACTATCGTCACAATCGGAGTCGAACTCGTTGTCGTTGGGCTTTGGGCGACGGTAGTGCGTGGCGTCGCGCCAGTGCTTCCTGGCGCTGACTGGCACTCCCGGATGATATTCTCCCATTGATCCTGCGCCACACACAGTGCGTCCGTGGCTACCACAGACGTGGGCAGGAGGAGAGAGGTGGCGCCAGTTCCTGGAGGCGGCTGCGGCAGTGGTCTCGCGGAGAGACCATTCCTGACCATAGTCGTCCATCTCGTTGAGGTGGCGGAGATGGCGCTTGCTCATCTCCGTCGTGGTCTTCGACCGGCCGAAGGCCCAGACCATTGCGTGCTCAAGGTCTGCGACGATTTGTGGCAACGGGACGTCAGAGTCCACGAACTCCGTCCGGCGAGTAGTGTTGCACCTCTCCTAGCGCCGCCTCTCTCCCTGTCGGCATACTCTTGCACCTCTCCTAGTTTCCACTGCTACTGTCTCCGCGACCACCATGAAGTTAGTGCAGTATGCGACCGCGCGCATTCACGGCGATCGCGTGGGGCAAGCTGCCATTGGCACGGTGGGCAGGCGGCAAGAGCCGCTCCTCCTTGACGCGCCTGGGAGACAGCGGCAACCGCTCCTACTTGCCGTGGTGGGGAGGAGGCGGCCACAGCCGCTCCTCCTTGACCTCTCGACTTCTGATTTGGACACCGCGGTTGTATGAGGAAGACCAGGGAGGGGAAGGAGGCTCCATTTTGACAGCATGGAGAAGTGTGCCTGGTGGCGTTGTCGGACCGGTGTTGTGGAGGAGCGAGCGATGGAGCATCAGCTCTATTTACTCCTCGTACCCGCCATCCGTCACTGCATACACCGTGTCCTGCGAGATGACAGGCGTTTGCAGAGGTGGCTGGTCCTCCTCGTCGTCGTCGGAGATGGCAATCTCCTCCTTCGCGGATGAGCCGATCGCTGAGGAGCAAGAGGGCCACGAAGTGCAAGTGCAGCGCGCCACGATCTGGAGCCAGGGCCTCCTGCCAGCACTGAGGCCCATGACCCATCGCCGGTGAAGAGGGGAGTGGCGGAGGTGCGTGGAGATGTGAAATATGGAGTGTAATGTGGACGGGCGTGGGCGTCGTGCTTAAATAGCAGTGTCCAAGCCAAGCAAACGGAAGCTCGGCCCGCTTCAATGTGGCATAGCAGCCGGAGTTCGTTTATCGGGGCGACGCGTCCGCATTGAAGCTGCGTCGCCCGAGAGGTCGCGTGGATCAGGGTCCGTCGGGTCAAATCCCGCGGCATCAATGCCGACTATTGCGGTTTTAGGCCGGCATGAATGCGGCGCCGGAAGCAGTGCATCAGTTGGAGAGAAAGCGCGGAGGAGGCGGGAGAGGGTTTTGGGTGGGGCAAGATTGTCGGAGGCGTGTACGGCAGCGGTCCGGGCGCCCGCAAAGTCCCCTGGTTTGCTTCCGGTTTGTGGAAAAAGGACATCTGAACCTGTTCGCGGACCGATATGGGATTGCGTTGGATGGCAAAACACATCCGGACCGTGCGGTCCAGACGGATGCGGACGATTTAAGGATCCATATTAGAGATGCACTCGCGGTGCCATATGGTGGGCTTTTTTTGTCTTCTCTAAATATTCACGAGAGAATATCATACGGAAACCAACGTTCGGTGGAAACCGGTGAAAACCACGAGACAAAGATGTTTTGATGTTTTGAAAAAATCTGAAAAAAAGATGTTAAGAGGATGATGTTTTATTGCCATGCAAAATTTTAAGTTGAAATACATTACGAGATGTGAGATATGAAAAAAACAAAATCAATGTTGAATAGTGCCAAACAGTAACGTCACTATTCAGGGCTGAATTTATCTTTTTCATAGCTCACATCTCGTAATGTATTTCAACTTGAAACTCTGCATGGCAATACAACATCACCCTCTTAACATCAATATTTTTTTTTCAGTTTTTTTGAAACTTTACAATATGGTTTCCACGAAGTTTTCATTGAGTATTTGTTTCTGTATGATATTCTCCCGCCACAACAAAGATAAATGTATTTTTAGTGCATAGGATCCCGTGTCCACGGTAGTCAAGCCACTCGTTTGCTACACAGGTAATTCACCTTCAATAATTCAATTCGCAGAGGAAAAATATGTTCCACTGATGTCATTTTTTTTGTTCACAATGATCGTGTTTTGGGCGCTGCTGTTAAACAATATGTTTGAAGTTCATTCCATTCACAGTTCTATTGTATTCGTTCTGTTTTTTTCTCAGCAAATAATAACCATGAGTACAACAGGTAAAGATATGGCAACACCAGTTGTGTATTGAAAGGAAATTACTCTAAAATAAGTGGCAATATATAGTACCACCAGATCATACAATAACATTACACGATGGCAACAAAACAGAACAGTACTAATTAGGACAACTGCCGACAGCTTAACAACGATATGTAGCTGGTACAAGTAAAACTTAATTTGGGACAATAATATTAGCTATTGCCACTGATTATTTCTCATCACTGCAACCACTGGCGGAGCTAGGAAGAAAGTCTAGGGGGGGAAATGGTAAAACTGGCAGACCTGAGGGGGCCAAATACTAAATTTATACTCATCTAAACCATCTAAAAAAAATTCCTTCACACTTTTTGCTTAGGCTGGGGGGCCACAGCATCCCCAGGAGCACACATAGCTCCGCCACTGACTGCAACACTCATACTTCCATGGCGACAATTCAAGGTACACACTTGAGTATGTTAGCCAGGATTGAATCATTGTAGCATGCACCGCTCTGGCAGTTGGTACCACAATAATCCTTGCCAAGCCCACAAGATCCATACTGGCTGCAACAATAGTTGTTGGTGCATCGTGCACCATTAGCCTGGTTGCCACACGGCTTGTCCGTGCTACAAGCACCGTTTTGGCAGCCAGCCCCGCAGAACTCCGGTCCTAAGCCACAGTAACCATATTTGCTGCAGCAAAGGTTATTGGGGCATTGTTTACCATTGGCCAGGTGGCCACACTTGAGGTCAGCCCAGCAAGGACCGCTCTGGCAGCCGCGGCTGCCACTGCAATATTCACTGCCATAGCCACAACGACCACCCTAGCTACAACAATGGTTGTTAGGGCACAATGCACCACCGGCCTGTGCGCCGCAGATCTTGTTGTTGTAGCAGGCGCCGCTTTGGCAGCCGGCGGCAGCGCTGCAGTAGTCGAAGCCCAGGCCGCAGTACCCATCCTTGCTGCAGCAGAGGTTGTTGGGGCACTCCATGCCGTCGGCCTGCTTGCCGCAGCGCTTCTCACAGTACTGCGGCTGGGCGTGGGTGGTCACCACCGCAAAGGCAAGTGCAAGGGCGCACAACAAGAGGCCCTTCATCGCTAAGTTTCTTCTTGGATGTGTGCTTTACTGGATGTGCTCCCCAGGTGTTGATAAAAATGCCAAATGCAAGGCTCCATTTATATAGGAAGTCCAAGTCGTTCGGTGATACCTCGCCATGTGCCTGGGAAGATCTATGCATGTGTTACCAACGGAAATATGATCTGATAATTAAGGCGCGCATGTGAAGTGACCTGCTTAAAAAGATCATATATGATACGATCTGTTTTCGGGAGCTGGGATGAGATCTTATCTTTCCCAGCAAACGATGCTTTGACCTCATAAGCTCTAAAATTGAAAACTTACAAAGTACTCCCTCCTTTCCGGTTTATAAGGCTCAAATCTCAAATCTCATCAACCAAGGCATTTTGTGAGTGGAGGCATATATCTCGTACTTTATAAAACTATCCTAATTAAATTAATGCATTAATTTAGATTAATTGCAGTGCATGCATGCTTGGCCACTAGATGAGTAGGAACATTACATGCATTGGTGTGTTCCTCTTTAATTCTTGCATGCAAAGATTTAATGCACATTGAAAACTAAAAATGAGATGGAGATGAGCCCTCTAAATTGGAAAAACAAAAAAGTTGAAATAAGCCTCATAAACCGAAAAGAAGGGAGTACATTTTCATTAAGATTATATTTGCATTAGTTTATCAGCATCTGATACTCACTGTGTCGATGAGGCAGGTTACTGCAGCAATGAACCGAGAAACGGGTCACCAAATCTCTCTACATGCTCGTTTCATTCTCCATATAAATTAAAGATTGATTCATGCAATTTATGAAGGTTGTGTCTTATGTGCAGTCCAATTTATTTCAACCGAGGAAAGCAGTACTATCTCAAGAAAGTATTTCACTTTGCCTGCTTGTGAATCCCAATGTCTATTTGAATTGTAAAAACTTTAAAGGCTTTGAGAATTTCTAATTGCGCTTAACTATATAGTTTCTTAAAATCCAGCAACTGTACAACATCGACCCGCGAAAAAACCAAGGCCGCATGCCTCGCGACAGTATCTCCACCAGACAACCATTATTAGTATGATAAAAGATAAAAAGAAAAAGAAAAATATACACAATTCCTAAGCTAAGCCTTCAAGAAGAAATAGTCGCACATACACTGATGATGATGAGTCCAACCCAAGGTCGATCTCGGGATTTTCATCCCCAAAGTCAAGTTTCAATCCACCATCTTCAAGGGAGGACACAAGCACGAGATGACAATAGTCTTATCAGAGATCTAGTGTTTCCACCATAGTGCGCATGCTCATTGTTGAAGCCACCTCTACCATCGACACTTGTCCGGCTACTAACACCTTGCTAGGCAGATACTGCACAAAGAGATGCCGAAAGACAAAGACGTCCCACACCGTCTTGCCTCCGGCCAGTGTTGCACCACCCCCAGTCCAGCAGCAACATGCAAAACATGACATCTCCATCAGAGCCACCATGCAACACATGTCGATAGCAGGCATGACTTGACGTTTCTGCATGAGATGTCATGTGTATCACCCGCTGGCGACAAGCATGTCTGGACTCCTTCGAAATATATGCATGTGTCACCCACCGAGCCGCACTAAACTCGACCTAGTCTCTGCATCATCTACACAAATATGGAGGCTGCCACCACCGAAGATCCAGGGTCGCCGCCGCAAGAACCAAACTCATGTGCCATCAACGCATGACATCGCAGCGAGCAGATCTCGCACTGGAGCCAACGGCATCCACCCCAGGCTGTCGTGCGACTGCTAGGCGAACAGTGCCAGCAAGGCCACCGGCCAGCACATCCATGTTGGTGCAGCCTATCGCATGTCTCCCGTGCCACGTGTACCGTAGATCCGTGCTGGAGCGACACCCAAGCACCACGTACACATGCGCCCCAGATCTACCGGCCTCCACATCGCCGCACCCTTGCACGCGCCAGGCCGCGCCTCGCCGTGATGCCCATCCACCTCTCCTCGGCCGAGCGCCCCGCAGCAGCCCAAGCCTCATTAGAGGGGAAACGAGGTGCCCTACCATCGCCAATGCCACGTGGGCTTTACCCGGTGTCGCCTGCCAACGATGGCGAGGGGAGGGAGGGATGGAGAGGGTAGTTTCCCCCGGCGGCTAGGGTTTCGTCTGGCTCGCCCATGGGGAGGATGACACGGATGCCCGTGCGTTGCAACGGGAGAGAAAACTGATATGTACTTAAATTTAGGGAATATTGGATGTGCAAGCACAACATATCAACTCATTAAGTAGTTTTAACTGACACTGTCAGTTGCCCTAAGGGCACTCCTGACTATATTTGAACTTATAATCATATGTATTAACCCTAAATCTAGGTTGTGAATGTGCAGTCGATGGACATGCAACACGGCCAATTTAAACATTGTCGGATTGCAATTTTATATTAAGTTATATCATAATCCCATAGTCTCATAATATACTGTCTATCTCATGTTCATCGACAATCCCACGTAGAAAGCATCTAGAATATTGGGACTTAATTTCTTCTTTTTGAGAAACATGAGTTAAATCCTTCCTGCTCATTTGTAACTAAACAATTATGTGTTCGTTTCTCCAGGGATAACTGGGACCCACTCCTCACCCTCCATCAATTCATGAAGCAGTTTATTGATTTTTCATACAACTTGCAAACATATATAAACTCATGAAATTTAGTGTAAGAAAATGAGAAGCTAGTATTTAATTTGGTAAGTAAACAAACCCTCTCACCTGGATTTAAAGCGCTCGAGGGCCAAAACTTTACGGCCAAGAGACAACCTCGCGTGAAGATTAAATGCATCTAATTGTAGCCAGTGACCGCGTGAAGAAGCAATTTTCACGTAAATATTACATTTTGGCTGCCACATGGGATAATTGGGCATACATTGGTTGGTGCTCTATAACGATCAGCTGGAGAAAATAAATCAAGCATTTTTATCGACTGACCCAAAAATAACGGACGCACTTATTGCACCTGGCTTAATAATGATTGATGAAGGGTAATAGAGAGAAGTACGAGCTAGCCCAATTTAATCACTCAAGGTTTCTTTTTCTTTTCTCAACAAATGTTCAGAATTTTAAAAAATGTTTACATTTTTCAAAATTAGTTTATTATTTTTTCAAATATTAATTTTGTTTTCAATTTTTTCCAGAAATTAAAAAATAGTTTAGTATTTCAAAATTTGTTCACTTCTTTTCAAAAAATGTTTGAAAACTTAAAAAAGTTTAAATCTTTCGCTGCAAATTTTAGACAAAAAAATCGAAGAACTACAGTGGCTAGGGACATTGTTAACTCACGGGAGGTCATGTGATTGGTCCCACTCACGCACAACTTTTTGCTAGCTGTTTTTATTTTTTGCCACTGTTGTTCTTTTCTTTAAGGGCCACGCTGCCAATTTTGCATTAAAGTTAGCCCGGCGTACTGGCAGGTACTGGTGCAAATAATTGATAGTGATGTTTCTATGTTCTAAATATTCTGAGTTATGGAATAGCTACGTATAAAACCATCAATGTTTTTTTGTTCATTTGGTCTCTTTTTTTCCTGACGGTAATGTATGATAGGGATATACTATTTCCCTGGTTTGCCAAACCTGACGCCTATATAACCCCGTAAGGCCAAACCCGTCAGAGAAATGTGAAAACTCGACAGGAATATATAGTCCATGTTGGCCAACCGACATGCATAGTTTATTTTCCCCGACAAGCTATTCCTGACGGGTGGCCAACATGAAGTATTTTCCCTGTCGGTACACCCTATTTTCTTGTCGGTTTTGGGCTCACAGAAATATTTCAGTTTTTGGTAGTGATTCATGCCGCTGTAGAGCGCGCCGCTCCGCATTGAAGGCGACTCAGGGCGGATGTGATCTTTCACTGCCTCCACCATTGAAGCGGCTCACCGCTCGAGGGCGCCGCCTCCTGCACGCCCGGGTGAACATGCCTCCTCGCGCATTCATACGCCTGCATTAAACCCGCGTGGAAGCCGATAGACCTACTCCGGCCACATGTCCGTTCATGAGCGGGCCAACATTCGACGCAACGCTGACCGAGCTCCTCCTATCCGCCCTCTATTTAAATGAGGATAGATACTGGAAAAAAATTGCATCTCTCCGCCGCTCCCCCATCTCCTCCTTGACCACTCTTCTGATGGCTTCCGAAGAGTAGTTCTCTAGCATACAAGCAGGATGGGTAGCCCGCCGATCTGGCCGGATACGAGCGAGGCAGCTCACTGCTCCACCTCTCACGCCCGACTCGACGGAGCAAGTTGCCACCCCAAGCCGGTGCATGGTTCAGCAACTCGGCGCTCGAGGCCCACTCGATGAGGAGTGCCGAGTTGCTCCACGCCGAAACGGCAGGGAGCACGGCAACACGTGCGTCCTCGCTACCGTTGACGACGCCGCGACTGATGGAAATATGCCCTAGAGGTAATAATAAAATTTTTATTATTATATTTCCTTAATCATGATAAAGGTTTATTATTCATGCTAGAATTGTATTGACCGGAAACTTAAATACATGTGTTGATACGTAAACAAATACCGTATCCCTAGTGTGCCTCTACTAGAGTAGCTCATTGATCCAAGATGGTTAAGGTTTCCTAACCATAGACATGAGTTGTCATTTGATAATGGGGTCACATCATTAGGAGAATGATGTGATGGACAAGACCCATCCGTTAGCTTAGCATATGATTGTTCAGTTTGTTGATACTGCTTTCTTAATGTCAAATACATATTCCTTCGACCATGAGATCATGCAACTCCCGGATAACGGAGGAATACCTTGTGTGCTATCAAACGTCACAATGTAACTGGGTGATGATATAGATGCTCTATAGGTATCTCTAAAGGTGTCTGTTGAGTTGGCATGGATCAAGATTGGGATTTGTCACTCTGTATATCGGAGAGGTATCTCTGGGCTCTCTCGATAATACAGCATCACAAGAAGCTTGCAAGCAAAGTGACTAAGGAGTTAGTTATAATATGATGTATTACGGAACGAGTAAAGAGAC